AGTTTGAAAGTTTGAGTCATGTCCTCCAAATAAGGGAGGTCTGCCTCCTGCGGCTACTGGGCCGCTCTTGGTGTAAGTTTGCATATTTAATAAGTCTCAGGAAGTTCAGTAGCTATCCAAACTATACCAAACGACATTTCTCAACTTCTTTGAACTTATTTTGTTACTCTAGAAATTGAAATATGGTAGCAACCATACTTGGGCAAAACTGCTGTTTGAATTTTAACCCTGCTATTCTGGTTTCTGCACTTGCTTAAATATAGGGTAGTTACCTCAGCTTCCAGATGGAGACCTGGAGGCTAAGGCAATTTTCCTGTGCCTGGGACCAGAACTACAGGAGATTGATTCCCACTGACTCAGTAGCTTCAGGAGTAGAAACTGTAGATAACCTTTAGAGATTAACCGCTCAGCTCTGCTTCTGTACTATCTTCTATCACAAGACAGGGCCACATTCCAATGTCCAGCAGGATGTGGCTAGGAATGACCCTGCAGGCTGTTCCTAGCATGAAGAATTTAGAATTCAGAACAAAGTAAAATTTTTGTTGTTTAGACCTTTAAAAGGACTGCCTACACCTGGAACGGTGCGGTCATGTGGACTCCACCTGCGGGTGGTGCTCTTGTGGCCGTCCTGGCCAGTTCAATAAATCCTTGCCTGCTTTTTTTAATCAATCATCAGCCTCTGGTGGTCTTATTTTGAACCCAGGGTTCGACCCCACAACAAAAATGATCATGGAGGACCCACTGTCACGGTCATGAATAATTACACATGATGCTGAGTAGTGAAAAGTCATGCTTTGCTGGGCAAAGTATAAAATTAAGCCTACCTTCCTGGGCAATTTGGCAATAGGTGATCACTTTTAGAAATTTTATATCCCTAACCCTTACAGAAATATATCCTAAGGATATAATCAGAGATAATATTTTTGCACAAGGATATTTGTAAAAATAATACTTATAAAAATGAAAACTTACAATTCATCCTACAATCCAATAACAAGAAATTTGTGAAATAAATTACAGTGCATTTATATGATATAATATTATATAGTTGTTAAATGCTCACAATATGATGTTATTTGAAAAATAAGGCAAACATATTTACAGTGTGATTCTGGTATTGTTTAACACATCCTTAGAAGGGCTTATGCAAAACTATTCAGATTATCTTTGGGTGATGGATTATAAATAACTGTTTTTTGTTGTTTTCTATAGTTTTAAAATGCTCTACAATGTATTTGTATTACTTTAAAAATAAGTGATACTTATTATTTAAAACATCAGTCCTTAGATACTGTTTTATATTAATGTAGATTTAAAATGTTATAATCATGAAATAACCTTAGCCATGATCTTATACACTTTTAATCAAGGGTATTTCTGAAATAATCTATAACTAATCCATAGAATGTATGGTTGATGGGCTCATCAATACCTTTCAATCACCCAAGTTGTTTGGCCCTTGGCATTTTCATGATTTAACCAACAGGAAAACTCTGATTTAGCCCAATGCACTAGCCCTATTGGTGACAAGAAGATCCTGATAAGGATGGATGGAGAGGTGAAAATGAGGGCAAGTTTTGGGATCTACCTTCACTAGACCCATGTTCTTTGAGGGATTGGATATCTGATCTGATTTCATTTATGTCAGATCTTTGAACAAATGACTACACAGGTATGTTTGTGAGGGAAGGGGTTAAGTCTGGAAGCAGTGCTTGATTTAAGATTTGTTTTGGAACCACTTATCTCTGGGGTTGCTGACAGCAATGAGCATTTTTTAAATACCTAAGGTAGACTGAAACCTGGTTATTTCTCTATCTTCATTCAGTTGAATGTTTGAGTTAAAAAACAACCCAAACCAACACAAAACAGATCAAAGTTACTTTTAAATTTGTCATGCATCGGCACCAGGTGTGTGGCCTGTTCTAACTGCCTGGATGACCTAAGAAAGGTATTTATTTTGTAAAATAGAGTTCAAAAAGGCAAATACATCACTGACTTAGACCAAAAACACCCAGTAACTCCTGCAATTGGATGGTCAATAGGCATTGACATACATTCCTTATTTTGACCAGAAAGGGGTAAGAGTTATTCCCAAGGTTAAGTAAAGGTCATCTCTCTCTGCCAACTGCCACTCGGTGGTGATGGAAAAGCAAAGGCGGAGGTGGGGTGACTGGAAATTTCACTTAAGAAACAAATGGCCCAGTCTGTCTGTTCACTCAGGTCATTTCTGTTAGTTTTCCCATAATTGTACTGGATCAGCAGTCAAGTGAAACGACAGATTCATCACTGATAGAATCTCTGTCCTGGCCGGCCATTCTTTGATTTGTGTGTCTGTGTGGCCGGGGCCATTACTTCTCACTGCCTTTTGATCCTGCAGCAGGCCATCTATCTTTCACATTAAACTTAATCTTCACGTTAGATGCTGATGGGGAATTTGACCTGGAGTGGCTATTGGACTAGTTTCACAAACGTTAGTAACTTCAAAAAAATACCTTAAAAGACATCAAAATTTGAAAGTAGAAAGCAAATAATGATGGCTTTCTAGTAATTTAAGGTTGTTACAAGATCTCCAGTGATAATTCTGATTATTTGGGTTCTTCAATTATTCAACTCCTTAAAAGATGAAAAGTATACACCTCCCTCTCATTACATCGTCAAAACAATTGTAATACTTCTTATGATTTCAGATATGAGCCTTTGAACTTTTTTCATTCACCAACTATATACTAGGTCAGTGGCCGGCAAACTCATTAGTCAACAGAGCCAAATATCAACAGTACAATGATGAAATTTCTTTTGAGACCACATTAAAAAATATATATATATATTTTTTATTGATTTTTTACAGAGAGGAAGAGAGAGGGATAGAGTTAGAAACATCGATGAGAGAGAATCATTGATCAGCTGCCTCTTGCACACCCCCCACTGGGGATGTGCCCGCAACCAAGGCACATGCCCTTGACCGGAATCGAACCCAGGACCTTTCAGTCTGAAGGCTGATGCTCTATCCACTGAGCCAAACCAGTTTCAGCGAGAGCCACATTTTTTAAACTTAAACTTCTTCAAAATAGACTCGCCCAGGCCATGATATTTTGTGGAAGAGTCACACTCAAGAGGCCAAAGAGGCGCATGTGGTTTGCCGACCACTGTACTAGGTCCTCTGTGTTAGGAGCCAAGGGCCAAGGATGACTCAGGGAAACAGAACGAATGCGATCTATAAAGACAGATGAGAGATTTATCAGGGATTTACTGTGGATCGAGCCCACAACCCCAGCATGTGCCCTGGCCGGGGATCAAACCCTGATCTCCTGGTTCATGGGTCAACACTGAGCCACTGAGCTATGCTGGCTGGGCATCCCATACGATTTCTATCTATAAAAGATGTTCGCTGTACTAATTACACCGTATTTTTCGGACCATAAGACGCACTTTTTTTCCCCCAGAAGTGGGGGGAAAAAGTCCCTGCGTCTTATGGTCCAAATATAGCCTACACATATACTTAAAAAAAAAAGTTTTACTTGCCTGGCTCTGTGTGGTCTCTGTGTGCTTGCCCGGCTCTAAAATGGTTTTAAATGCTGCTGTTTACTTTACAGGGTTGATTACATGTGTTTATGACTGTGATGTTGGGTTTTAATGCACATAAAATATTTTAGGACACTATTTGTTTCAGAATCTTTTTTTCTTCATTTCCCTTCTCTAAAAACTGGTGCGTCTTATGGTCCGGTGTGTCTTATGGTCCGAAAAATACGGTATTTAAAATTGGGGGAGGCAGAAAATCAAAGTGGCCAGTGTAAGGAAACGATCTGAAGTATGGTAGCAACCATACTTAGGTAAAAACTGCTGTTTGAATTTTAACCCTGCTATTCTGGCTTTGGCACTCACTTACTTGCTTAAACAATAGGGTAGTTGCCTCAACTTCCAGATTGAGACCTGCAGGCTAAGGCAATTTTCTTGTGCCTGTGGACCAGGACCACAGGAGATTGATTCCCAGTGACTCAGATGGCTTCAGGGATAGAAACTGTAGATAACCTTTAGAGATTAACCGCTCAGCTCTGCTTCTGTACTATCTGCTATCGCAAGATAGGGCCACATTCCAACATCCAGCAGGATATAGCTGGGAACAACCCTTCGGGCTGTTCTGTTCCCAGCCCTTAGAATTTAGAATTTAGAACAAAAACATTTTTGTTGTTTAGACCTTTAAAAGGACTGCCTACACCTGGAATGGTTCCGTTGGGAATGTGGCCACCTGCGTATGGTGCTCTTGCGGCCGTCTTGGCCAGTTCAACAAATCCTTGCCTACTTTTTTTTAATCAATCATCAGCTTCCAGCGGTCTTATTTTGAACCCAGAGTTCAACCCCACAATAGATCATCTTTTTTCTCCTGTTTCTGCCTCAATGATTGAAACCCCCTGCCTTCCTGGGGAAGACACCTCAACCACTCTCTCCACCCCATGCTCCTTATCCTTAGGGGAGATGTGATTTATCAGATGGTGAGAATGGGCACAAGTGGCTGCACACCGAGTTGCCTGCTATCTGCCCCACCACAATGTTTGTTCATGTCACTGGTTGGGCAAAGTCTCTAGATCTGCAGGCCCAGCCTCCTCATACCAGACTTAGGGAGGAGAGCCTGGAGCCTGGTTTTGGCTTCCAGAACATGCCCATCCATGGTGCATTAACTGAGAAACCAGTCAGAGGGTTGGATGGGGCCTCAGGAGCTGACGCAGATTGACTCAGCTGCTCCTGATATTTGGGAGCCAGATAAATAGGATTTATAACTCGTGGGGCCACCCTGGCTGACTAGGTTGCAATGCGACGTCTGAGTCACTGTGCGTGTTTGGCTGCGTCATCCAGCCCTGGCCACGTGACTCTCTGTGACTACGACCTGTGAAAGCCAACCTTGGGTGCTACTGCTGCGCTAGCCCGAGACAGGTATTTCATTATTGGAGAGTGTTACGCAAAGTGCTGAGGTCCCAGAAAACCAGCTCCCTCCCACCTGAAAGTCAGTGCTCCGGCTGCTTCAAAGCTCACTCTGCCCGCCATTCTTTCTATGACTGGCTCCTGTGTTTGCCAATCAAATCTCAGCCTCATCTGCCTCTAACTGAGCAGCCTACTTGAACACATCTAAAGCAGTCACTTTATAAAATTTGTACTATCTTAATTCTCTGCACAGCACTCATTTCCTTATTTGCTTGGTGTGTTTCCACCTGCCTCTAAAATGTAGGCTCTTTGATAATCTTCTTGCAACATCCCGTCTGATAAATACCTGGTCCATATGAGTATTCAATAAATAAATATCTGCATCTGAGACATGAATCTGATGGCAAGGACACAGAGTAGATGAACTCTTCCTCCAAACTGGAGTCTGAGTTCTGGGTCTCAAGAATAAACAATGAGAAAGACACAGCTGCTCTCTGCAGTCAAATGCTCTACCACTGAGGTATACCCCCCCAGTTGCTCTCTGGAAGTGACAACATGAATGACTCTCTGGAGGGACCTCCTGCTTCTACGGATACTTATTTGGTAAAAACGCCTGCTCTATGGTAATGATCAATGTTTTATTTATTCTGTCCATCAGTAACTAATATTGGAGAACTTTTACAATATTAATGGAGGTCAATCTAAGAGAAGTTCAACTTACGTTTTTCAAAATATTTTAATACTGGGTAATAAGAGAAATGATTATGGTCAAAATTATTATGCCAAAACCTGCAGTAAATGTTTGATGGTAGTGTACATACAACTCAGTTTTTGGTGTAAGATTCTTTGGTAGTCAGAAAGAACATCTGATTTACTTCGCTAATAGGAATATCTCTTAATGCTGGGATGGCCTCTTCCTGGTATTTCTTCTGCTGCTGATTTTTAGCATAGTTATCTGCAAGAGGACAAAAGGCTATGATTACCCAGTGAGTTCTTCTACTGTCATTATGTAGACCCAGTACATCATTTACGAGGCTAATGCTTGGATAATGACAAATACGTTTAAATGTCATTAAAGGATTACTTGAAAGCTCTCTTTAGAAGAAATGTCCCATTTGACTAGAAATTAGCAAAGTACTTTTACTAGAGCCTCGATGCATGAAATACATGCACCAGAGGCAGGGAGTGAGGAGGGGGGAATCCCTCAGCCCGGCCTGCACCCTCTTGCAGTCTGGGCCTAAGCCGGCAGTGAGACATCCCTCTCACGGTCTGGGGCCCCTTGCTCCTTAACGCTGCTGTGGAGGCAGAAAGGCTCCTGCCACCGCCACTGCGCTCATCAGCCATGAGCCCAGCTTCTGGCTGAACAGAGCTCCCCCTGAGGGAGTGTGCTGACCACCAGGGGGCAACTCCTGCGTTGAGCGCCTGCTCCCTGGTGGTCAGTGCATGTCATATCGACGGTTTGTTCTGGTTGTTCCACTGTTCACATAGACTTTTATTATATAGACATGTAGCCTGGTGTATGAAATTCATGCAAGGGGGGTGGGTATCCCTAAGCTTGGCCTGTACCTTCTCCAATCCGTGATCCCTTGGGGGATGTCCGACTGCCTCTTGCAATCCAGGACCTCTGGCTCCTAACCGCTCGTCTGCCTGTTTGCCCCTAACCCCTCTGCCTGTCTGCCTGATCGCCCCTAACTGCTCCTCTGATGGCCTGATCACTCCTAACCGCCTCTGCCTCACCCTGCACCTGGGACCCAGGATTCCCTCCTCCGGCCAGTCACTGGCATTGGGGACCTGGGCTTCCCTCCCTATGGCCAGCCTCACCTGGGCCAGACGCAGCCACAGGGCACCATGGGTGGGTGGCTTAGCCTGGGCCGCAGCCCCAGCGCTGGCTCCTGGGACCAGAGGGCGTGCAGCTTGTCCCCTTTCCTCTCTCATGAGCTCATTTGAGCCTTGCTGGTCCCCATTCTTCTCTCCCCAGTGTTGAGTGTCTGAGCCTTACTGAGGATGGCATGAGGGTGTAATGATAATGTGCATATTAGCTCTTTATTATATAGGATTTCAAAGAGGAAAGGAAAGGGAGTGTTATATAAACATCAATGACGAGAGAATCATCGATCGGCTGCCCCCTGCACACCCCCTATTGGGATTGAGCCTGCGACCTGGGCCTGTGCTCTTGACCGAAATCAAACCCAGGACCTTTCAGTCTGAAGTCTGCGCTCCATCCACTGGTCCAAACCAGCTAGGGCTAGCAAAGTACATTTTTATGTCGCTAACTTGGATAGGGAAGTAATATTTCATTCGTCAGTACAATGATGTGTTAAAGTCCCATTTGCACATTTCTCATAGGAACATAATCCTATTCAGGCTGACAGACTATATTTAAATCACCTAAAAACTATTATGTCATTTGGTACAATCATTCATATAAACTCAACACTTTCCCCTTCTGCACAAGTTGTCTTTTTGCCGTGATTCAGTCAAGAGGACAGAAGGTACCAGAAAAGAAGCGTCTTGGTTCGATTCCTGGTCAGGTTGTGGGCTCGATCCCTACCCAGTGTGGGGCATGCAGGGAGCAGCCAATCAATAATTCTCTCTCATCACTGATGTTTCTATCTCTCTCACTCTTTACCTTCCTCTCTGAAATAAATAAAAATATATTTTAAAAAATAAATATAAAAGCTATAACTTCCCTAGCTAGTTTGGCTCAGTGAATAGAATGTTAGCCTGTGGACTGCAGGTTCCCAGGTTCGAGTCTGGTCGAGGGCACAGGCCTGGGTTGTGGGCTCAATCCCCAATGTGGGGCGTGCAGAAGGCAGCCAATCAATGATTCCCTCTCATCACTGATGTTTCTATTTCTTCTTCTCTCTTCCTCTCTGAAATCAATATAAATACGTATTTAAACCCCCCCCACTATAACTGATTTGCAGAATATAATGTATAGGCTCATACACGCACAAAAAGGCTTTAAAAGTTAAAAAATTCATACCTGGAAACTTAAAAAATACCTTACTTTGTAGAATCTAAGCAAGCTTAGGAGTCTTCTATTTTAATCATTAGATTTGAAAAAAAAAATAAAACTGCAAAAAACATGCTGTGGCTTGTCTACCCCTTACTGGAGTCAGGTGTATACAGAGATTCCGAGGACCCCGTCCCTCCAAAATCCCTCCTCCTGGACAAGCTCTGCCTGGGCCTGCATGCACCCCATTAACACTGCCTGTTGAGGAGAAAGGAAGTTCCTGTCAGGGAAGCTATCGAGGAACATATAATAGACTTGTGGTTTTTGTGGGCAAATGCACCTGTTGACTAGTGTACGAACAGGGTATTCATCAGAACTTACTTCCCACGCAAACCTGCCTCTGGTATAACTGCATTACGTCTCCCAGCTTGGTATGCAAGGTGTCATTTTTGCAGCCTGTTCTTGGTTGCTTTTCTCGATAAAAGCACTTAGAGCCCACTCCTCCGCCCACCAGCACCGCCCCTTGGTATAACTTACCTGTGACTGTATGAATGGAGTTGAGTGGCGAGGTGCTCATCATGTTTATTCCAAATAAGAGGACATACCCGATGACTATGGTAATGAGGAGGTAGACGGGCAGTGCGACTGCCCAGTACCTGCAGAGGAGAAAATTCAGTGGGTAACAGACTTCCCCCAAAGCCATACTTCTTGTTTCAAAGTGATTTTCTTCTGTTCCTTCTGTTAGCTCCCTTTCCTTCAAGTTCCTTTTCTTTTCTCTTTTCTTTCCTTCCTTCCTTCCTTCCTTCCTTCCTTCCTTCCTTCCTTCCTTCCTTCCTTCCTTCCTTCCTTCCTTCCTTTCTTTCGTATTTCATTTTAGAGGCCTTTATAAAATGGTGAGTTACGTTTGTCCACTGACATTTAAAAATAAAGTATTGTACTAACAAGGTTATTTGAAGCCCCGTGTATATGTGGGCCAGGATGGCGAATTGGCGAGTCTCACTGTAGGAGACCCAGCCGTTTCACCAGGGGACCGCCAAATGTCAGAGATTGCAGATGCTTTCCTTGGGGAGGGGCCTCCTGTTTTGCTGGGAGGAGAGGGCGGTATAGGCCTGGCAGCCACAAGCCTGGGAGCGTAGTGAGGAAAGGTGCTTGGGGGCATCTTATTAGTCAGCAACGCAGGATTTCCATTCTCCTCCCTGTCTTCAGTGAGGGGCCTCATTCCCAGGATCAGACCTCAAGCCTACAGACTCTTACTCAACGTTCCAGAGAGTAAAACTGTCTTCTGCAGAGGAGACAGGGCCAGTCTCCCTGCCTTAAGGGAAAAGGAGGAGGTTTGGGGGTATTGTGCTCCTTAAACACTGTTTTCAGTTCAATCCAGAATGACCACATTAAAGAGGTATCTGTACGTCCCATTTCTAGCCTTTCTGGAATTCTAAGGCACAGATATTCTTGCTGGCTTCTCTGCTTCAGCAATGCGAAATAGTGCTAACCACCTCAGTTACCTCTCACCTACGTAGAACGCTAAAATTTTGTTGGTACTTCTTACTTGCTATCCCATTATTTGTTACCTTTAAAAAACATATTTTTTCCCTACAGAGTTACTTCAGCAAGGTGTTGGAAGGACATACAGACAAACATGCATTCAACACGTCCTTTTTAATTGAGATACATCTACAATGACCTTTAAAAAGCTTCACATTTCTGTTTGGCTTAAAAGGGTACTTAAGGTTTGAGTAGTCTTAACAAAAAATCTGACCCTTCAAAACAGCATTAATATACTCTTATTTTATTTAAGCAACATATTAAACTTACTTTTGAGGCCAATAGGTCAAGCTTAAGGCGTTCAGCCAAGACTCAGGAACGAAGGCCCACACGAGATACAGGACTGTAAGGAGGGGAGAAAAGGCCAGTGAGCTTGCATCTTATCCTCCACAGGTCACATGAAGCAAAAAGCTCCCGAAAAGCTGCCCTGACTCGCTCAGAAATGACTGTTCCCTCCCTCCACCCTCCTAGCTTCTTATTTGCAACACTCTTGCTATCACAATTACCTCATATCTTTTCATTGTGATAAAAAAGTGACAGAAGCCCTGCTGGTGTGGTTCAGTGGTTGAGCGTTGACCTATGAACCGGGAGGTGGGAGCACAGATTCTCCGACAAGAGGGACCCCAGCATTGTGAACTTCACCCAGCGTCTGGATTCCCATTCTAGTTGTTTTTTACGGACGGTGCGTGTCAGTATTCTCATCAGTAAAATGAGGGTAATAATAACAACATCCACCCCACAGGATTGTCTTGAGAATGATAAGCACTGTCCCCAGCTTCTTTACACCCGGAGAACCCGAAGGCTCAAAGAAGTAAATGGTCTCAGGCCATACAGCTAATCCGTGGAAGAGCCACACTCTGAACACAAGTTATAACTTCACTGCACAGATTTCTCTACCAAACAGCTTGGCTGATGCATTAAGGTTCACATTTCCCACCTTCCTAGTTTCCACAAAATTCCAAAAAGTTGGATGAGGGGTACCCAGTTCTCTCCCTCTTGTCCCCTCATAATTCTCAACACCTTCAGGGGAGAGCTGGGGGCCTGGTGTGTGTGGGATGTGTCTCCATGAGCATCAGTTTCTTTTACCCGTGCAATGGGGTCTTACAGGGATGAATGCACCTGACCTCTCCAGCCTCCTGCCTTCCCTTCACTCCCCAGCTGCCACAGCAGCACAGGAGCCGCGTCCAAGGCCTCATCCGGGGCCTTCCCACTTTCCTCCTCCTTACTGTTGGGAAGAAAGCGAACTGACTCCTAGTCCAGTGGTCGGCAAACCGCGGCTTGAGAGCACATGCGGCTCTCTGGCCCCTTGAGTGTGGCTCTTCCACAAAACACCACGGCCTGGGCGAGTCTATTTTGAATAAGTGGTGTTAGAAGAAGTTTAAAAAATGTGGCTCTCCAAAGAAATGTCAATCATTCTACTGTTGGTATTTGGCTCTGTGGACTAATGAGTTTGCCGACCACTGTCTGAGTCTGTTTCATGTCTCTCCCTGGGCTCCCATGGCACTTCCCACCCTGAGTGTTAAGTTTCCATGACTTGTCTTGTCCATGAGACCATGACCACGGGCCCCAGGTTCTATTCCCTGTGCAGTCCTACCTGATGCTGCATAAACAGCAGCTGGGATTAAACCTTTCGGGCTACTGCCTGGCTCATAGAACCCCCTAAGCACACAGGAGTCCCCTTCAGGTTTTCTCAGAGAGAGGCATAGGCAGGAAGAATCACAGCTCATGTGAGCACCCGAACAGCCAAGGCCGTCATTTCCTTGTCCTTGAACACCAGGGAAAGGCCGTGGCCATCCATCCATCCATCCATCCATCGGGAAAACGTACTTACTGAAGCCAAACTGGGAGCTTAAGAAAAGAACAAAGCCATAAATGGCTCTTTCTGGCAATGGCGACGGTGAATTTTCCACCATTTTTCCCTTTGAGAAGATCTGTGGGAAGGAAACACAATCACCGTTAGGGATGTCCTCCCCTCATGCGTCTGTGATACCCTCATGGCTTTGCCACGGGCCGCGGGCGCAGCCTCTGCAGGGTTAGTTTTTCTCCGGCTCACACGGCGGCGAACGGCCGTCTGCGCACACCCCCCGGCGCCCGCCCGCCCGCCCGCCCGCCCGCCAGCGCCCACGCCGGACCCGCCGCGCACATCGCTCCAAATCTCGCGGGCACACGCGCGCACACGCCGGCGCGCGCACACAGGCCGGCGCGCGCACCGCCCGCAGCGGAGCCCGGGGGAGGGCGGGAAGGCGGGGTGAGAGGGCGGGAGGGAAGACGCCCCCGCCGGCTGCAGACTTCGCCTCTCCGCGGACGGGGAAGGAGAGCTGCGCCGGGCGCGGCCTCCCCGGGCCTGGGCCGCGGCGCCCGGGTCCGAGCGCCCGCCTCGGAGGGAGCGGCGGGAAGGCCAGCGACTGTCTCACGTACGAGGGGCCAAGGGGGTCCTCGACTTGGACTCCTTCGGGCGCCCACTTGGGCCCCTCCCAGCAGCTGGGCCTCTCGGCGAGGAGTCTCCTGCGCAAGCGCCGGCCCGGCCGTCGCAGAGGCGAGAGAGGAGAAGCCGAGCGAGGAGCCCAGGGGCGACGGCGCCCCCCGCCCGGGCGCAGGCGCGGCGCGAGCTGGGCCGGCCGGGCCTCGCGAGCGCGGGGTCCCGCGGGATCGCACGCTCGCCGCCGCCGCGGAGGAGGGGGCGTGGTGTGGCGGCCGCGCATGTGCAGCGCTGCCCACGTGATGTTCAGCCGCCCGTGCTGCTGCCAGCTGCCGCTCCTGGCTGACGTGGAGGGCCGCAGGCGGCAGCGGCTGCGGCGGCGGCCCTCCTTCGAGACTGGCAGTCGGCGGTCCCGGCACGCGGGGCGCGGCAAGGCCGCCGGATGTCTCTCCGTGTCGCAGAGCGGCCGCGATGCCCGCTACGCATCGCCGTGGGTGTGTGGTGAGTGTGGGTGCGCGCGCGCCGCTCGCCGAGGTGCCCGCGGCGTCGTGTCTGCGCGGGAGGATGGGGCGCGGGGGAGGATGGGGTGCGTGGGCTGCTGGGGCGCGGGTGCGCTGGGGGTGTGGCCGCCTCGGCCGGCCCCTGTGGGTGCGTCCCTTTTGTCTGGCGTCCCCCCCTCCGCCCCGGGGTGTTTGTGTGAGGGGAGGAGCAGCCCTTTGTGTGCGCATCCCCGGCCGCCCGCGCCCCCTCGTCCGGAGGGCGGCCCCGCTGCTGGGCCAGGGGCCCTCCGGCCGGCGCGCGCAGGCACGCGCCCCTGGGGCGCCTCCAGCCCTTCGGTGGGTGGCGGGCGAGCTCTTCCCAGGGACCGCGTGGCGCCCCCGGCCGGTGGGGTGACCCCGCTTTGTGTCACTGCCTCCCGGGGGGGGGTGCGCGTCCCCTGCGCGCGTGACCGCGCTTCTTGCGGTGGCGACCCCCCTCGGCCTGCAGCACCCCTCGCCCGGGGTGCGTTCTCGTGTGTCTCGTGTGCGCCTGGGTCCCATGGAGTGCGTGGTCCGTGTGCGGGTGTTCGGGAACGTTCGTGCACGCCTCGTCCTCCGCGTCTAGTGCCTCCTGTGTCTGCGACACCTGTTTTTCTGTCCGGGCCGGCCCCTCCCGTCCCCGTGGAGGGGGCCTGGGGAGGGGGGCTGAGCCCGGAGCCCTCCCCTCTCTGACGCCACCGCGGAGCATCCTCCGCCCCCCGAGGCCAGTGGGGAGGGGGGCTGAGCGGTCTGGCCAGCTGCGGCGCGGTGCTGACGCCATCGCCTGCGTGGAGCCAGCCCCTGCAGGAGGGGGGCCAGCGACCCAAACTGAGCGGAGGCGTGGGTGCCTTTTCCAGAGGCGCCCTACTCCCCCCCCCAAAAAAACAAAACAAAACAAAACAAAGTCAGATTGCAGACTTTTTCCAATATTTGCAAAACCAATAACATTTTAGCCTACCCTGGCATTCTCCATAATGCTTAACGGTCCACGCAGTGTTTTATGGCGTTCACAGAAATCCTCTCTCTTCTTTCTGCCCAACTTTTAAGATTTTCCTCCTCCTCCTCCTCCTCCTCTGGGAGCAGTTTTCTCATTGTTACAGCTCTAGCTAGGTCTTTTTTTTTTATTACAAGAAATTTGCATTTTTATTTTAAGGGAAATGGCATTTATTAATTAGGTATAAGGATATGCAGGGAAAGAAACTTAAAAACCCATTAGGGACCCAACTACTCTTGTGCAAAGGTTCCTGCTCTCCGCTCAAGGGCTGCGTTTTGGTGTTCATTTGCTCGATTGTCTTATTCTTGCCTAATTTTCCTTTTTTTTTTCTTTCTTTTTAACTTATGGTATATTTCATATATGCAATACTAAGGGGGGTCTAACCAATCCATGACTCAGATTTACAGATGTAAAAAATTTACTTTAGATCCGTGGGTTTTTTTTTTAATAAATAAAATTGGAGGTATTGGAGATGGTTTCATTTCCTCTCCTTCCTTCTGTGTTTAGGTTTGTGAACATCATTCCTTTGCATATTTTACTATAGTATACTTGGATCACGGTGAATCCATAAGCAATAATATAGTGTGTTTTTAAACTTCAATGGTATGAAAAATATGTATCTTTTTGCAACTTGCTTTTTTATCAATCAGCATTACCTTTTGATATTTATAAACAAATTGGAAATTTGAGCTATCTTTCGTTCATTTTAATTGCTGGTATGCAAAACCATTGTATGAATATACCATTATTTATCCATTTCTCTGGTGATGGACTTTTGAGGTGGTTTCTGGTTTTTTACCCTAAAAGCAAACCCACAATAAACAGCTTTGTACTTCTATGCTTGTGCACACATCTGGAAATTTCTCCGGGAAATACACCCAGTCCTTTGCTGGATAGTAGTGATATGTGCATCTTCAGCTTAACCAAAAATCACAGAATCTCTCAAAATGGTGGTTCTAATTGTGACTCTCACTGGTATTGAGTGAGGATGCTCATTTTCGCACATCATTGCTTTGCTAACTTTTACATTTTTGCCTTCTCTTTAATGACCAGCTACCTTATAACTTGAGCTTGCGGCTAAATTTGGCTTCTGCTCTAGCCGGGTTTATCTCGAGCAGCTAACTGGCTCAGTCTTCATCTAATTTGTCCTCATAAGATTAATTGCAATAAACATTTACTCTGTACCTAAGGTATGTCAGTTCCTATGGTTGATATAAAGCTAATAATTTCCATCTTGTACCTCTCTAGTGGCAGGTGAGGTGATTTAATTACTTTTTTTTATATGAATTGTTTTTAAAAACCTTTATTTTCTTTATTTAATGTCATATTTAATACATTCAGGATATATATAATTTATTTAGGTTGTGAAGCAAAATAATAAAATGAACACCTATTAATCTACCACTATTCCAAAAACACACACAAAATAACCTGTATTGAATGTGCTCACCTCCACAGTGACTTCTGAATTGTGTCATTCATTGCTTCTTAAAAAATAATTTTATCAGAGATGTATACATCTCTCAACAGGGTATGGTATTGGTTGTTTTTGAGTTAAAAAAAAAAAAGAATATTGGATACAGTTTTCTTGGGCTTGCTTATTTCTCTCAAAACCAAGTACAGATTTAAATGACCAATTTTCTTTGCTGTGTAATATTCCGTGGGTGAATGTAACACAGTATATTCATTCTTCTGTTAATGGGCATTTTGCTTTTAGGTTTTCTATTAATGAAGGTTCTTGTACGTATATTCTATATAGTACACAGTTGCAAGAATTTTTCTAATTTTCACACTGGGTACCGGTATATGCTCCCCAGGGAATGATGATGATTTTCTAGGGAGGATTTGGACACACGTGATGTTTATGAATCAACTTCTAGGTCAAATTTCATATGGACTCTCCTGAACTTGGTAATGCCTAAGGCTTATCACAGTGGCCTCCTTCTGATTCTAGTTTCCCCCCTTTTCACAATACCACTCACCCACATGGAATCTGCCTAGGGCATTACCCCAAGTGGGAAAGTTCCACCAGGGGGGAAAAAAAGGATAATTTAAAATACAGTGTTTAGTGTTAGGGAAAGCCTCTTTCAATGCAGGCACTTTCCATCTCCTTAAGAGCTGCATTCCAAAAAAACAACTTTTTATGTGTAATTGTCGCTGTATATAGTTAGTATTTTTATTAACTCTGCTGCATTAATTATAACAATTTAAACCAGTGATGTCCCTTTAATTCTAAAATGTCACTGATACTCCAAAAATTTATCCTTTGCAGTTAAGTTTAGGCAAAATATTTTCATTGTCTTCTTAAACTATGAAGAGTATGTAATTTTTAAAAGCATTTTGATGGTTTGTGAGTAAAAAGTGATAAGCTATCTGGTAGAAGTGAATTGTGGGTTGTGGGTCATGAATATTGGACTTTACAAGGTGATACCAAATTGTTTTCTGAAGTGGCTGTGCTACCTTATGCTTTGGCCAGCAGTTTGTCAAATCATATACTTTGCTTAGCAGTGTGTAAGAGTTCTGATGGATCTATATCCTCCGCAACAATTGTTACCATCGGTCTTCTTAATATTTGCCAATCAAATGGGATGAAGGGATGTATCATTATGGTTTTAATTTGTATTTCTTTGATTATTAATGAATTTTCTTTTCATGTTTACAAACCTCTGTTTTCCTTTTGTGAAATACTTGGCATATTTTTTACTCATTTTCTATTGGGTTGACTTTTAAAACTAATAAACTGTAACTTCGATCCTTTATTGATTATATGCACTGTAAATACCTTCTGTGACCTATTTTTTAACTCTTGATGTTTTTGCTTTGGTGAACAGAAGTTCTTAATTTTAATGTAGTCTAATTGGAAACTTTCCGTAGCCCCGGGCGTGTAGAGGAACTCCTGGGTTCCTTTTTAGAAGTTTTAAAACGATGCCTCTCACATTTAACTTCATGATCCATCCTGTACTGACTAATGTGTGTGGTGTGAGGTAGTGATGCTCATTCCACCCTTCTCGCCCCCATGTGGCTCCAATTGTCCTCTGATCATCTATTGAAGCGATTGTCTGTTCACCAGTGATACCCTGAACCCCTTTTTTTCATGTTTACTCACTACATGCATGGCTTTGTTTCTGGCTAAGCTTTCTGTGCCACTTGTCCACTTGTCTATCTCTGTGTTGATACCACTATCTTAATTTTTAATGCTATGGTTTAACCAGAAATCTTTATAATTGGGGGAAGGGGGTACTTGAGTCTCAGCTGTTGGATCTTTGTTCTTGTTCTAAGAATCAGTTTGTATGTGACATGAAAAATTCTTTGGGAATGAATTGGAATTAAGTTTGGAGAATTGAAACCTTCCTGTCTGAGAATGTGGTATTTCTATGTATTTATGTTTTAAATGTCTTTTAATGGTGTTTTGTAATTTTCTCCATATACATCTAACAGTTTTTAAATGTTTCGATGTTTCTATTAGGGGTTTTGCTACTATAAACTGTTGTTTTTTTAAGATTCTGTTTTCTGTTTATTGTTGGTAAATGGAAATTTAATGGATTTTAAAATATTGATCTTTAGTCATCCATTTGATAAACTATTTCTAATATTTTCTGTAATTTTGTGTTTCTATGTGGATAATTATATTGATATTATTTACAAATAATAACTCCTTGGGTTCTTTTAGTTTTTTTTCCCTTTTACTTATTTTTCTTGTCTTAATATGCTGGCAAGCTTTTAGATCTAGGTTTATTGGAAGCTTATTTTTCTAGTGGAAATACGTTGTGATCCTCTTCATGTCTAATGTTTTGTCTATCCCACCTTTCTTTTGGTAATAATTCACAGAATTATTCTTTTCCTCTTTGTTTTACTGTCACTTAAAAAAAATCTTCATTTTTTATGTCTCTCTTATAAAGAACATAGTTCTGGATTTCTCTTTTTATTCACCGAGACCATGTCTTTGGTATTTTCTAAGAAGTTAGTTCAATCTCTTGGTGTCAACTCTG